CAAATCCATAAGTTTGGGTAGTCTGGCGACCTTGTTTATTTGGGGTTTTTGACAATTTTTTTGGTTTCTGAACGAGGAGGTGAGCATGTCCCATAAGTTTGGGTGGTTCTACCTCTTCCTGCTTCGGTCTAAGAGAAATAAACTAGGCTGAGGACCAAGAGATGTTCCATAAGTTTGGGTGGTCTTGGTCCAACGCCTCGCACATGCTGGAACCGGAAGGCTATAACTTTGATATACTTTACTATTATACTATCTATGAACAGGCTAGTTAGGCAGGGTTCCATAAGTTTGGGTGACCTGACTATAGCTTATCACCAACTGAAGAGAGTACTTAACTAAGAATAAACTTGTGGTACGAAGGGGCAGGCCGAGTCTTGAGCTGAAGATGATCGGCTCAGCTATATGCTACCTCAAAAGACTAAGTACAAACAATTATATAAACCTTGGATACTTAGACAGTTCAGGGCGACTAGGATGGCCTAGTCATATCTCCAAAGAAGAGAAAAATTGTTGTGCCGTGTGTTTGTGTATGCTTCTTGGCCGGGCTAGACATGTTCCATAAGTTTGGGTGGTCTAGCCTTATGTCCTAGGTAAGTTGGGTATAAGGGATAAATCATTGAAAGACTACGAACTATTGGTTGCTAAGGTAACTTGGGGATATTGAGAGAATGCATGTCTGTGGTTTGGCCTGCATGTGACCGAGTGATGCCACTTCTTAGTCTGAGTTTGGATTTGATAGGTAGTTGCTGAGTTGCTCGCCACATGCTAGAGCCAAAGGAGTTAGAGTCATTTCCTGCATTTTCTGGGCTTGTTTTTTTTACTTAGATCAATTTCTACATTTTCTGGGATCTTCTGATTCGTACTTGGTCTTGTATAAATCTTGGCAAGCCACTTTCTCTACGGGAAGCGCTGCCGAAATTTCTACAAAATCAAGGAGTTAGTTAAAACTTTGACTTTTTCAGGATCCGGTCTTGATGACTTCTTTGACTTAGTAGGAATCTGGGGAGCCTCCTTTTCTAAAGGAGGTGCTGCCCAAATTTTTACTAATTCAGGAAGTTAACCAAAAATTAGGCCCTGAAGGGTCAAAGTCATTGTCAGGTCCCAAACTTGGTCTTGTATAAATCTTGGACTAGCACTTTCCCTACGAGAAGCGCTGCCGAAATTTCTACAAAGCTAAGAAGTTGGTTGGGAATTTGTCGTGACAAGACTTAGACTTTATGTCTAAGTTCAAGTCTGACTTAGTATAGATGTGGGGGGCCTCCCTCTCTGAAGGAAATGCTACCCAAATATTTGCTAGGTCACAGAGTTAGACAAATTTTGACTTTTTAGGATCCAAAGTTTGTCTTTTTTGGACCAGTATATTTTTTGCGATATCACTTTTCCTACGGGAAGCGCTGCCGAAATTTTCCTAAGTTAGAGGAGTTAGCCTATATTTGGACAAGTGGCGACCTATGTAGGGGAGACTATGTCGAGGTCCACCTTACGCTGAGTGCTATCTAGAGGTGGACCTAAACTTGGTTAGATATGACGACTCGAGTAGGGTTAGGATGTGGAGAGTACTTTCCCTGAGCGTGTAGACTTAGCTTGAGGTTGGCCAGACTTGTGTCACAGGTCTCTTGAATCAAGTCGCTTCAGGACGTGGGCTGGACTCAGCTTGATCCTGTTAGGATCACCTTCTGTTATCACCAGCGTTGTCACGCGGGGATCCCCGGGGCCCAAGCCGGGGTAGGGGTTTCAACCCCGAAACCCCGCCGCGGGGCTACCCGACCCCCGCCCCCGCAAAAACAACCCCGGCCCTGCCCCAACCCCGCCCCCCCCTCTCGCCCCCCCCCCCCCCCCCCCCCCCCCCCCCCC